TGTTGCGAGTTGCCATTCGTTCTACTAAACCATTAGTCAAACGCCATCATGCCTTCTGTTGTTATTACACAAACAAAAATCTCTTTACTGTTACTAGTGTTAGTGCCTCAATATGGCTACGCTCGTGAAAGCAATACAACGAACTCAAACGCGTCTTCGTTCAATGTTGTCAACTAATATCTGGATTATGCAAATTTTCCTCAATTCTCCGGAGAAATTTTCATAAAAATTTGAAAAACCCGGAATTCCGGGAAAATCCGGAGGACTTTCATCTCTGTAAAATGTATTTGTGGCTTGAATTTTCTTGACAAGTACTGCATACAAAGTACTGCAAGCTACTTGCTTTTTATTTGTTATAGTCAAACTGGGTGGGTGGATGGATGGATGGTGGTGTATTTGGCTGATATTTAAATGAATTTGTTTATTTATGTATTAACTTTCTCAACTTTTAAAAGTCATTACTGCAAAATGAAAGCGCAATTGCTTGTTTTTATCCTCCATAATGTAACTTCTGGTTCTTACAAAACAACAATCACACAAAATTTCACGTCGTTTATTCAAGCTGCAACTTTTTAAGACCAGTTGTACAGGACCGGTTTTTTCAAACAACCAAAAAAGGAGCCCAAACATTTGCTAACATCACAGGGTAAGTTGACTAACAAAAGAGAAGAGGGAATGCTTATCAATGCAGCGCCGATGCATGATGACGTCACTTCAAGGCGACTCTAGAGCTGTGCATTTTAAGAATGCCGACTTGACAATACAACCCTCTACTATATCATCATTTTAATAATATTTATAAGCGCCTTTCAAGACACCCAAGGACACTTTACAATAACAAAAAACACAAAACAATCCGGGTTGAGCAGCGGCAGCCAAAACGCACCAGCGTTTGGGTTAACTCTGTTGCTACACTGATTTGGCTTCCAACATGGTAATGCAACAACAGTCGCCTTTTATGACACCATCCGTGGGTGTCCCTGGGAGGCACGACCAATCAACCCATGTTGACTCCCAACTGTTACATTCATGTCACTGACTCGGGTGCAAAAAAAAAAAAAACAAGTGTTTGAGACATCCCTCATTATAACATCCTTTCAAAAGATGGACAATATGTGCTACTGGCTGTCCATCCGTCCCTCCGTGCAACAAAACCTTTAAATTACAGTCTGACTTCGACAGAACCACAACTCAATGTAAATATGAAAAGAAAAGGAACAACGAAATATAATATATGTACTAATCAATTCTGACAGAGACATGGGATGAACTTGTTCAGTATGTCAAGCTCTTCCATTCTAATTAGCAGACTTACTTCACGAGATGTCTGCTAATGTATGTAAGGTATGCATTTAATATGGGCCATCTTTCTCTTGACTACAGCTGGATCAAATGTTCAGTCATTCAACAAAGGAAATGTGCACGTTTGTGAATGCAACCTATGAGGTGAGTGGGTACTTCTGAAGGCTTGGTTTCGGAACCAAATACCCTAACATATACAGTAAATACAACTACAGTACATTCAATTATCAGCTACAAATGACAGCCAAAGAATGTGGACAAAATAATGACGCTTGTTGTTATTGTGTGAATGTCCAGCCCCAAGATTATGTCCACATTCGGAATGTGACCAAATCCAAGAAATGTCTTTAAGATTGATTTACACAGAAACATAAATTTAGCAACTTCTCTTAAGTGTGGATGTAGTTTAGAGTGGTGCACAACTACCAACTACAATCAGACAATTCCAAAATGCATGTATAGCATATTATCGAACCAGCAAAGACTCATGCGTCAAGTCATTGGCCAAATTATAATTAGGCAATTAACCCATTCACAAATGGAGCATGTGTCACTAAGCAGATCTAACGTGAATAACACCGCAGCAGCCACCCAATGTGTTACATGAGCTAAAGAAGCCTGTGCTGTGCCTGTCCGGTCTCAAAACGACCGAAAGCCAACAGTACGTTCGCTCCAATCATCACTGCACCTCTGTGACTTTCATTTATATGATGTCAACTTGTATCTCGGGCTAGTGTCCTTGTGTTGTTTGTCCGGTTTAGGGAAATAAACAGAGCGTGACGTTGGCAAACGTGCGAAGAGGTGCAGTTCGCGGTTCCGAAGGAGCCATGAAGAATGTCGTGAACGTGCATCCAGTGTCAGGCTTTCTAGTGAGGAACAGCCGCGCTTACCTGCAACACTTGTGTATTTATAATCCAATCGTTCGTAGCGACAAAGAGGCCATATTAGGTAGTTAGTCCAGATTCCCTCTCAGAACGCCAAAGTGAGTGGTTAAGGTCGGAGGAGGCCAGGAGACGCAGCCACAGTCGCAGAGGAGCAGGAGCAACTTGAAACGGAGGGAAATCGGGCCAAACCATCAGAGTGGCAGGCACGGGTGACGGATTAAGGATATAAATAACAACATATCAACAAACTATTGAGTGATACTCGACTAAATTGTGATGAAAATGTGACGTTGCACTTTCATCAAAATAAAAGGAACGCTCACATTCTTCCCTTGTCATTTGAAAGGCGAAAGGCAGAATCTAAAACCCCTTCTTCCGCCGGAGCAAACCAATGCGTGAAAACACTGTCTAATCCCATTGGTCCATTGCAACATGACGCAAACACTGCTCAGAGTCAGGGTGACATATTAAAGCAATACTGTAGTCCGAGGTAACAGGCGATGGAAGAAACGGTTGCTAATAATTACTATTGTTGTTATTATTACTACTGGTAGCGGTGTAATTATAATAATAATGCGATTGCCGGTGACAGTGCATCTGAATCGTGAATAGTTAATCAAAACTTTGTCTCCTACATCTTAATTGTGTCTCCAATGTGTAGCTTTAAGTGTACGTTCCCCTCGATGGATTCTTGGGCAGAAGTCCAAAGCCCGTATGGTGGTTTGCTAACAATGCACAGTCGGTTGTGGTTGTAGAGTTGCCGTTGCTAAAGTGTAAAAAACACTGAGATTACAACTTGGGAAAATTGCATGTTTCAAACAATCACTTTTAAATAGCATTACAGCAATGCATGGTTTGGAAAACAGTAGCATGAGTCAGCTTCCCACAGCCTGAAATATGCATTACTGATTCACTTTGTCCTACTGTAATATCAGCCATCCCAAGACCTGCACTCATGTTAGTGAAAATACTGCACACATCAGTAGCCCAGAAATCCAAACAGTAAACTCAGATGACATTTAAAGCTATAAAGATTATCTTTATAAGTGTGCTGACTGTTTCAGAGGAAAGGTCAATGGCACGTAGTTTCATTCGAAACAGCCTCACTCAGGGGCGTCACACCATGGAGGATGTGGGCGGGGTGGGACTGGCAATTCAATATTATTATGATTAGTCCCAAAACTAGTAACAATGTCATGTAACAGCTGTGATGTGATGTCGTCACTGCACCAAGATGCACTCTTGTAACATGTGTTGAGTGGGTTTTGTTTTTTTTAACCTCTTTTACCTGCAAGAAACAATGTTTTGCATTTTCAAGAACTGTCCAATGCTTTTCTTTTATTCTATAGCTTTAATTTACTGTATTATAGCATAAAAGTATGTTTTGTTTGTTAACTTGACCATGTTCACACGTCTAGTGGGCCAGGACTGTGATAGTTCTTTCTGTTCTGATTTCATGTCAAGGTAAAATTCTCAGTGTTTTTTTTTTCTAATACAAAAAGAAATCTTATACTTGTCTCCATGTATTCATTACATCATGATATTGAATCGCGTCAATGACATGACAATTGAATGAAACGTGAGACAAGGTAAGGTTCGCACCTCTATTTCCCTGGGCCTTCCCTTTCAATTCCCGCTAGTTTCACAGTGTTGAGTGTGTGTGTTGATGGGAGTTACAAAATGGAGCAAGCAAGAAAGGGTGTGTTGGTCATGTGACATTCGCAACCTGAGCCCTGAGGCACTGTGATGTCATTTTGAGTCAACACTAAGTGGCAAAATGTCCGCCCCCTAGGATGGATAAAATTTAGTGGCTTTTTCTGCTTAATTCATTTTCCACAAATGCAATATTCATCAGAATGCCGTGTTAAGACGAGTGGGGGCTTGAAGAACATATTACTGTCAGGATTTTTTTTTTTTATACTGTATATAAGTTTCACTTTTTCAATTTAAACTTTTCCATGGTTTTCTAATTTGTTAAGATGCTCTTGCATGTCAAGATTAATCATTGCAGAACCTCAAGGACATTTTGTCTTCATCTTTGATGCTCTATTTAGGTCTGCTAATGAAACAAATCCCAGGGGGCTCCTGGATGTGTAAAAAGAGACCTTAGAAGGGAAGGGAATTAATGATGCAGTAAGGAATATGTGTTTCAGTTCCAGGGTTCCCTCTTCATTTGGAAGTCATGATTTATTTTTCTCTGCCTTTCGCCCAGACTCATCTGATAGGCTCCAGCGAACAGGATTTGTGTTATAGAAAATTGATTGATGGATGATAATAAGATTTATGGAATACAAATTGCCAGTAAAAACTGTGTACAGGTATTTGGTGATTTATGCCTGACTTCTCACCTAACTACCTACAAACTAATCTATACCCTCATATGTTGATCTCTCTCTCTCTCCCCTCTCTCTCTCTCTCCCTCTCCCCTCTCTCTCTCTCTCTCTCTCTCTCTCTCTCTCTCTCTCTCTCTCTCTCTCTCTCTCTCTCTCACACACACACACACACACACACACACACACACACACACACACACACACACACACACGCAAGCAAACTGTTATTTGGTCAATAGCTGCCACCGTCCGTCGTCCATGAAAGTACTTCCAAAATAAAGATTGACAAAGAAGTTGTAATTTGTTGTACCCAATCAGACTGATTTGTATCGGCCAAATTTTGCAGCTTTTCATTAGCAAATATGATGGTAATTCTGTAAAAGTATTAATGCAATCATTTGTATTCAATATTATGACCTCAGTCTGTTAAACACCTTGTAATGGCCTATTATTTTTCTATCTATGGTTAAAAGGCCTGGTTCAAGCCAATATGAACACAGACGTTTCAGTCAACCCTAGCGTAAAAAGTCAACACGCACTCACAAACACATCCATTGTCAATTGATGTCAGTCCGCCCATCCATCCAGCCATCCATCTAGCCATACATTCATCTTCTCTTGGTTATCCCAATGCATGTCATGGTCGCAGCAGTTTAAGCAGGGAGCCTCCCAGCGGGAGTGCCCTCCAGCACCCACTCCAAAGAGGGTGGGTACCCCAAAATTGGGTATGATGCACAAACAAGACTCGCTCCCCCACCCAAAGGCGTAAGGAGGCTAACTGCTCGTCAACTAAGGTTAACTCCAATGAACAGAAACTTAGCCATTAAAAATGGCCACACCTGTTTTGTGCCTCTCATCAGAGGCAACTTAAGAGTCATCTGAAGGGGACTGGTACCAGAACCCATGCGATAAGTTGAGATGAGGCCAACTATATCTTGTAGGAACCACTTGTAAGGGGGACCAATGCTACCACTTCAGGCTGCCCACAATCGGGCTCCATGGGTGCAGTGACCCACATTCGGGCCGAATATTTCAGACCACGACAGAGCTCCAGACTGTTCCTAAATGGTGGCATTTTGCCCCTAAAATTTGAGACAGTGTAAGCATATTTTTCATCTACTTGCGCATTAGAAATTTGCTGATTTTTAACAATTTGTCTCGAATATATTTTATTGCTAACAAACTCCTACACCACACGTCAGCCCATTTATCAGTAATACAGTAAAAATCCGTGGAACTGTGAACATTTACACTAGTGTGCCTCACTAAAATTTCAATTTAGGAACTATTGTGCTCCTCGCAAAAAAGTTCGTCTGGAGCTCTGTACTTAAGCATTGTGACAAAGACAATGTAGAAAAACCATTAAAGGTACATGTTGTTTCATCAAAGGGAGGATGAATAGCTTAAACGTCAAGATTGTAATAGCTTTTGAGGACTTCACAATAGACTGCAAGAGCCACATTATGAAACCACCCCCTAACTGCACGAAACACAACCAGCTTTCCACCATGCCAGTCATTGTTTGTCATCAGCCTTTCACTGATGATTTGTGGAAGGTGAATGAAGCATGCAGACAAAAGCTTGTCAAGGCGAGGTGAGGCTGGCTGAACACACAACAAAGGACTCAAAGTGATGTCATTCCGGAAATCTTCACTGGCATCTGTCAGGTCACGTTACCAAATAAATACTCATGACATTGGCCTCTGTCTATATCGACAGATGAGAGTGGTGAATAACATTTAGTACTTACCGTTCTATCGAGTGGCCCTAAAAATATTCCTAATTGGATTTGAGCCTCCTACTATTTTCCTCCCGTTCTCCTTTCCTTTTGATGTCTTCCTCCTTCTTCCTTCCTTTTCTCACCGCCACAAGATGCTGCCTGGACCGGTGACGGGCGGCGGGGGGGGGGGGGGGTGGGGGGGGGTAGGTGATAAACACGTGACTGGATATCCCTGTATGCTGATTGGTCACATGCAAAGAGTGCATTGAGGCAAGAAGAAGACGGGGGTGATGATGTCACACACCCACCAGTTCACATATGGGAGGGATCCTCCTTGGTCTGGATGAAAGAACACAGACACAATAGGTGTTTTTTGTTGTTGTTGTTTTTTTGTTTGTTTTTTCAGGGCGAGTTGCTTTTGAAAACTCAAATAGAGCTACTGGATGGTCAGGGATAATTCCATTTGACTGACTGACTTCGTGGCATGCTGGCTGCTCTGAGTCACTTCTAATCGCTCATCTCACATGTCATGTTTGCTAAAATACAATCTACTCATAGCTCTCAGCTCATGAATCTCTCCAAACTGCCATGACCCAAAGGGAGAAACAACCTGACTGCTACAAAACCTATACGTGAGCATCCTTGTTATGGTGATCTATAATCTGGCCAACCACAATTTAGTCATCATCCACAGGGGTGGCAGGGAACTATTTATAGTGCTGTACAAACTATGCATTTTTCACTGCTTTTCCTCTTTGGTACAGTAAAAATTAATATATAATGTAATATAATATAATATACACTATGGATTTGTTCAACTGACAATGTTTACATTCTTTTTTTGATTGTTGAGTTATGTGTTCTTCTTTTACTAAATTACAGGATATGACACCAAATCTCAGTCTTGAACAGCAATGTTGTAGATGTATTAATTTACCAATATGTTTGATGGTATTGAAGCACAGTTTGCAGGGGTGTATAACAGATCAGTTTAGTGCAAATTCCTGGTTTGGTTGCAGGATTTAGGAAAAACAATGTCATGAATTTCCACAAAACTTTGTTACAGGATTACGACACTGGCCAAGGATCGCGCAATTGTTTTCGTTTGCGGCATTGCTGGTCATCAGAGATTAATTTAAACACATTTATTATTGTGCTTTTTTTTCACAGTGGTCTACAACTGCACTGCATCATACTGTGTTGTAGAAAATGCAGATGAATGCATGGAATGCAGAAGCATGAATGGCAGCAATAACAGCAGCACTCTGAGAGTGAGTGAACAAAAATTGTCTCCCCACACTGCTATAAA